CTTTCTAACATGATTCCCAAAAAGCATCTGAGTTGAACTTCAACTGAGGAAGTCCTCTGACCAGATTGAGTTTATTAATATGAGATATACGTCTCATACTAATATGCCCCAATCTTTTGTGCCAAATCCATTGCTCATCATTAACAGACATAAGGCATTATACATTTTGAACCTTAAGTTCTGAAACATTAATTTTGTAAATGTTGTTCTTCCTTTTTCCATTAAAGAGGACAAAGCCATCCTTTTGACTCACAGCCTTGCAACATTTTTGATTGAAGATTATATCATAACAATTGTCACTTAATTGACTTATAGACAATAAGTTATGTGTTAATCCTTCTACAAGTAAGACATTAGATATGGAAGGAAGGTTACCATTGCCAATAGTTCCAGAGCCAACTATTTTGCCCTTCTGATTCCCTCCAAACTTGACGTATCCTCCAGATCTAAGTTCTAGGCTTTGGAACATAGACCTTTTTCCCATCATGTGACGTGAGCAGCTAGAGTCCAGGTACCACGATTGGTGTCTTGACTTTGCTGCTAAAGACATCTGCAACAGATATTATTTTGTCCTTAGGTACCCAGATCTTTTTGGGTCCTTTAGGGTTAGTTGCCTTAATGTTTTGTCTGAACTTCTGTCTTTTGACAACAGGTTTGTTCTGACGTACTTTAGGTTTAAACATAGGTGTGTTCTGATCAGAACGTGTGTGCTTAATATCATTAAGGTGACCATACTTAAAGTGAGTATACAGAGGAGTATGCTTAATGATCTGTTTATCAACAGATGTTGGATTTAAATCTTTTTCAGAAGAAGATTCATATTCAATGCCCTTTCTGTTGTTTCTACTTACACCATAGATCATTGAAGCCATCTTGCTTCTATCTAGGCCTCTTGACAGAAACTTCTGAAAACTATAGTCATATTCTTCTAAAATGTTTTTAGATTTTGACTTAGTTTCATCTTCAGAATCTTGTTGAGCTTTTTCTAATTCATTTTTAATTTTAAAATTGTTTGCTTTAAGCTCAGCAACTTCTGATTTCAGAAGATTATTCTCAGATACAAGATTGCTTTCAAGCTTCTTGTACTTGAGCTTAATCTTACTATAGTTTTCCAGCATTTCAGATAAACTCTCAATAAGTTCTACTCTAGAAAGTTCAGAAAATACCTCTTCTGAATCAGATTCTGATTCAGATCCAGATGTTTCTGCATGGTCTTCCACGTCAACCATAAGTGTCATGTTTGCACATTCTTCTTCTGACTCTGATGAAGATTCAGATGCATCTGAATCATCCCATGTTGCCATCAGAACTTTCTTCTTATTATCAAACTTCCTTCTTGGCTTCTCCTTCAAAAGTTTTGGGCATTCATTCTTATAGTGCTCAGGTTCCTTACACTCATAGCAGACCACCTCTTTCTTTCTAGATCTTCTATGTCCAGAGGAATTTTTACGTTGATCTGTTTTCTTGAAGTTCCTGAACTTCTTCTGTTTATGCTTCCAGAGTTTGTTGATCCTTCTAGACAGCAGGGACAATTCATCTTCTTATTCAGAAGAAGATTCTTCAGAACTTTCTTCTATGACCTGTAAAGCTTTGGCAGATTTGTTAGACTTTAAAGAAACAGACTTACCTTTCTTCTGAGGTTCGTCTTCTTCTAGCTCAATCTCAATACTCCTCAAGGAGCTGATTAGTTCCTCCAGCGTGATCTTGTTCAGATCCTTTGCAAGCTTCAGAGCTGTGACCATTGGTCTCCACCTAGTTGGCAAGCTTCTGATGATCTTCTTGACATGGTCAAATATGGAGTAACCTTTGTCCAGAACCTTTAAGCCAGCTGTGAGAATTAGAAATCTAGAGAACATAGCTTCTACAGATTCAGATTCCTCCATTTTGAAGGCTTCATATTTCTGGATCAGTGCCAGAGCTTTGGTCTCCTTTACTTGGGAGTTCCCTTCATGAGTCATCTTCAAAGATTCAAACATATCAAATGTTGTTTCTCTGTTTGTAATTTTCTCATACTCAGTATGAGATATAGCATTTAATAGAATGGTTCTTGCTTTATGATGATTCCTGAATTCTTTCTTTTTATCCTCAGTCATTGACTTTGTGTCAATCTTCTTACCATCCCCATCAGTGGGGTGAGCATAACCATCAATAACCAAGTCCCAACGGTCAGCATCATATCCTAGAAAAAAGCTTTCAATTCTATCTTTCCAGTAATCAAACTTCTCACCATCAAACACGGGAGGTTTGGTGCTGATTCTATCTCTGTCTTCATATTTGTTGTTGGATGTTGAAGCTTCATCCATAATGTATCAACCAAAAATATATCAAGAGTTTTTCCATTGGGTCTTTTCTCTTTCACGGTTAAGTGATAGCACAACAGAGCCGGAGCTCTGATACCAACTGAAGGTGGGAAAAACACTTAGAAGGGGGGTTGAATAAGGGTTTTGAAATAAATATGGCAATGAAAAATAACACAATATTTTTATCCTGGTTTGTTGAACTCAACTAATCCAGTCCACCCTACCAAGGTGATTTGCCTTTCTCAACAAGGACTTAATTCACTATATTCAAACAGATTACAGTGTCAACCACTAAGACAAACTATCTTAGTCTTCTCAAGAAATCCTGACCACAACTTGGTCTTCTTAAGGAACCTTTTACAAAGATGTAAACAAACAAGTGTTTAAGATGCTTCTAAAAAGCTATATCACAACCGTGATTTTTACACTTAGATTAAGAACGAATAAAAACTATTCAGCTTATGAAGTATATTTTATGAGAGCTTGAGAGTAGTTTTCTAATTGATTTTTCTAAGGATTCGTCAACTTTGAAGAGTTGTTGAAGACTTGCTTTTTTAGACCAGAATGTCCAATACTTGAAGACTGTGCGTAGCAGAGTAGCTGTAGCCTTTTGTCTTCTATTGACTTTAGCTTTCCCAGAAGAGGAATGTTCAGACAAATCCCTTTTGTCTAATTTCCCGTGACATACATGAATAAGGAAAGAGTCGTTCAGATAAAGACAAGGAATATACCAACGAATCTTTATTTGAATGGCATCTTCTTCAACAAGCTTCTTTCTCAAAGTTATACACATCAGAGTTTGATGTTATCAGAGTCTTGAAGAGATCAGAGTTTTGCAGCCAATTTGCTTCAGCGTGAATATCAATCAGAGCAGAGTTTGAAGATCAGGTCCTCTGTACTTGCAGTGTAAAGTACTTCCAGAGTCTTCAGAAACAATGCGACACTTCAGAGTCTTCTGTAGCTTCTGCTTCAGAGTCTTCCGTTGCTTCTGCTTCAGAGTCTCTTCTGGCAGCGCTCAGAGTCTTCTGATGATTTGCTTCTAACACTCAAAGCCTAGAGTAGAGTAATCAGATGCATTTTTGCTTCCATAAGAATATTTAATTTAATATCTGAAAGAAAAACGCTTGAACAAAATTAGAGTATATATTTTCTTAATACAAAATTTCATTAGTGTTATCATCAAAACATAGAGATATATTAAACACCAATCTGTGTTCTAACACCATGTTATGCGTATGGTTGGCTATTTGAGGACGATACAGTTAAGGCTGAGTTTCATGGCATGTAAGGCTCCCGGACAGTGTGGTATCAGAGTCTAACAGAAAAGAAGGGGTGCATATGGTATGAATATAATAAAGAAAGTGAGTAAGGGAGAAATCACTTAAACATGGAAACACCTGAACCAAACACTCAACCTATTACTACTACTTCTTCTTTATCACTTCCTAAACTCTGTAAAAAAACTAACTCTCATAAAATAGAAAACCTTATTGAGTACTTTCATGTTCCTGAAGATGCTCAAATTTCTGAAACAATACCTCCTCTGTTGAGTTCGTACAACATCTTCAAAAGACAAAGAAGTGTTACTTGATCCATCCGAAGTCTTATCTCTACAAATCTCCCTCATATGAAAGAGTACGTCCAGTCATCTAGACTAGATCAATGCATCCTAAGAGCTACAAACCAAGAGCAGTATGTAGATCTGGAGATTCCCCAATATCTCATAAACCACTGGAAAACTGAAGGATATACAACCTTACACTTTGGGACTGTCAGACTCACCCTTTCTCTTCATAGAAGGAAGAACCAACCTGTTTTTTTGCAAAATAGCTCTACTGGACTCCAGCTACCTCCACTATGAAAATGCTGCGATAGGAACTGCTATAACTACACTTCATGCAGAAAGTGTTGTCCTCACCATCTTCCCAAACTATAAAGTAAGTCTTAATGATAACACCTTATCCACAAGACTGAAAGTACAGATCCAAATCATCGGAACTGACCAAGTTCCAGAAGCTATGTCAGCTACCCTCCACCACCAGATAATATACCGCTTACAAAATCACTCGATAGATCTTCCTCTCTCAGGATGCTCTTCTGATTCACTATTGGTTGTCACCAATAGAGAAGAAGACATATCCTCCATAGTTCAGATTCCAAGAAAGATCACAAGGGAAGAACTAACTCATCTAATTCCCCTTGAATGGATAACCAACTATGAAAAACTTCATATTGACAGAAGACCTATCCAATCTCAAGAGGCTACTTTCAGGAGATCCGTTGACAAGACAATATATACGATCTTTAAAAAACTAGACGAAGGATCAACCTCAATATCTCTGATCTTCCAGACAATGATGATCCAACCAGTTCTCAAATAAGATTGGTGTTCTGTCTATGCTATTACAACAGAGGGAAAACCCATCTACACTGACAAAATAGATGGCCACTTCATTTGGGATGTTGATCCAACAAGATGTGACCCAGATTGTGATTGCTGAATGCACAACGATGATATTGACCGAGATATCATTCTTCCCAAAACAAGGAAGAACAGAACGTGTAAGCCCTCGCTACCTCCTCAAAGGAGATCTGATCCAGACAATGGCCCATGGGTAGGAATCCATGGAAAAAAGAAACCCATATGTATCTACGAAGAAGGACTAAAAATCCTCAGGAGAGAAGGATTGTTACCACCTGATGATCCGAATCTTATTACATGGTCACCAAGAGAACAATTGTAAACCGTTACATCCTCCAGCTGCTACTCAGCCAATTCCTTGCTTTATGTATTCAACCACAAACTCAGATTACGGTCGACAATTTCCGGATTTGGAGAGAAAAATGGATCCAGTCACAGGCAGAACATCCAAACCATTCATTCATCCGAGTGAAGTTCAGACCGATGGGAAGCTTAAACCTTTAACTCAGGCTGAGGAATTTCTGAATTGGCAATCTGAAAACATGGTTTCTCAAAATTAGATTCTTCAAAACCTTGACAAAAAGGTAGATAAGTGTTGCACCCCAAAATTTGCCTAACCTTTTCTTACTTGGTTTATGTTTCATTGCATTAGCATATCATTGCTCTAGAATTTGCATTGCATAGAATTATTCATTTAGTATGGGATCAAGTGTGATTTATATCAATATTAGCCTAGCTAGAGGTTTTATTCAAGCTTGAGAAGTCACCAAAGTCATCAGGAAGTGGTTTGTGTTCTTGAGAAGTTAGGATGCTCGTATGAGGTTTATCTCCTAACTTGGGAGCCAATTGAAGACCATCAGTGGGTTGTGAAGCCTTGATTATGGATAGAATATGTGGATAGAGCTCATGGAGTTCCTTGAGGGTCATGGTGGAGTTCAGTCAAGTCATTCTGCTAAGTGCAAGCAGCTACAATTGAAGGTGTTGCAGTTAGGGTTTTCATCTGGTCAACCCTAAGTCAATTGTGCAATTGGAGGCGTTCAAAGCGTATTTCTAAGTCATGGTGGTCATGGAATTTTATGTTGAAGCATTTGAGATGTTGTTCCAAGATCAAATCAAAAGAATCAAGAGTGTGAGGAGTTGCTAAATTAGGGTTATCAGTGTAAAATCCCATGTTTAGTGCCTAACTTCAAGACCATACAAGTCAAGATACAAGTCTCACATGACTTTGGCATCCACATAAATGTTGTAGAACATTGTCATACCTTTAATTTGAGTACTAGAAGTCATTGATTGGATTTGTAGAACTCAAGTTGTGAGCCAGACAAGCTACAGGTCATCAAATGAATGTGAATTTTGTCTGTGAAAGTCAACCAACTTCCGTGCCACTTTTTCCCTAGAAGGATATTTCACATGACCTTTTGGTAAACAAGAAAGTTGTTCCTCATGACCTTAGCTTTCCAAAAAGTCCTATAAGTCATTCATCTGATTTGTAGAGCTCACGTTACAAGCTTTGCAAGGCAGGGGTATTTTGGGAAACTTTGATTACATGTCATAAAATTACAGGTCAAGTTCACTACTTTGCATAACTCAAATGGAATTTTTTACAACATTAAATTTTCTCCAAATGGGGTCATTTGTTCAACTAAAACTCAAGTTATCAATGGGCTAGCTTGGGGTTGAAGATTGGTGAAGGAGATTTTGTGAAAAGCATGTGAAAATCAAAGTTTGTGATCTTGCCAAAATTTAATCAAATATGGTCATATTTGTGCTTATTTTGAATGGAAAACACATTTTCAGAACATTAGTGACAAAATCAATTGCAATTGAGACATATTTCATGGGGTATTTCAAGCTTTCTTCATGTTTAAGCAACATAATGGATTATGGCCATTGAGATCCAAACAAGGGGAGATTATGAGCCTTAGATCTTCCTTACATTGCAAGGAATGAAATTGAATCAGAAACAAGGAAAATTGGCCATGAATTCATCCATTTTCATGGGCTTCCAACTTAAAAAATCGAAAAATCCAATTTGATGTTTAAGCCACAATTGGGCCCCCATATCATTGCAAACATGTTCTATAAGTATTGTGGAGTAAATTCATGATTTTTTTGGATGAAATTGGGTGAAGAACAGAGCTATTACAAGTTGAAAAAGTGAGCTCAAAGTGAAATTTGAATTTTCCTTTTCTCATCAATTCAAGGCATTTCAAGTATTCAAACACCTTCATCAACCATCTTGGAGTGATTCTGCATAGATTTCCTGAAGAATTTCGTGTCTGTGTGAAGCTATCCATCTCCAATTTCAGAGGTAATGGAAATTCAAGATATATCATTAATTATGGATCTTTATGCTTCCATTCTTGCATATTTGTAATCCCCTGGAAGTCAATTACGTTTCTGGTAATGTTTGGAGAAGTTTCATGGAGTTTTTGGGTTCTTAAAGATTTCTTGGAAGGGTACGGGTTTGAAGTTCCGAAGGGTATTAATTTAATTCATCACCATATTCGTATTCTACATGAAAAATAGAGTGATTTTGGTTCAAGAAACTTTGGATTTGGTGGAGTTTTGAGTGATTTAGGTTCTTGGTCAGAGGTTGAAGATGACCGGCGTATTTCACCGGCCACCATCCACGACAGCTCTGGTCTTTCCCTCTTAAATCTCAGTTCAAACGAGGGAGATACACGCCAGCCATTGGATCTTGTTGGAAACTATTGACTCAGTCTCTCCATCTCACATGTATTAGCTTGCCACGCCATCAATCTCCCTAAACGCACCGTTTAAATTAACAAGGCTGAGTGGACCTGGGCTTGGAACACTATCCCCACCCCCCTGTGACTGGCCCAATTATTTACAACTGCATCACTTTGCTAATTGCCATGCTCTCTTATTTATTTTTCAGTTGGATTTTCTTATTTTCTTATTTCATACTTTCTTGCTTTTGATTCATAAAAAAATAGAAATATTGCATATTAAATCTTGAGGTTTTTACACAAAATTCTTGGACATATTTAGGAATTTTAGAAATTGAAAAAATGATTTTAGGTTTATTTTCATTTTATTAGGATTTTTCTTATTTTTAATGCAATTAGAAATGTGATAATTATGACACTTTCTTGTGGAATTTTGTTGAAGTACCAAAACAATAAATAAACTCCTGATCATTTGTGGCATTGTTGTATACATCTTGAAAGATTTAGGTTTTTTTTCTATGGATTTTATTGTACCATTTGCATAGGTTTTGAATAGCATTTTGTTCATGCTCTAGATTGCCTAGTTTTGGGGTACCCTTGATTGTTTTCCCTCTGTTTAGGCACTTCCCTTTGGATTATTTTCTTCCTCTTTGAACCCCTGATCACTAACACTCGGAGAATTTATTTGGTATTTTTAGATGCATTTTACTATTTTTTCCTTATTTTTCAAGTTGACTCATAATTTGGCACCTTCACTTGTACACTTGTATTGTTTTGGCTCCAAAAGCCTTGTAATGCTTGTATGATGGACATTATGGTGATTGATTCATGTTATAGCCTCATTATAGGTCTTGTTTACCAATTTATAGGTCTTTAACTTGTGTGTAACATTCCCATTTTCCTTCATCTTCTAATGTTTAAACTTTGTGCTTGTAAATGTCATTACATGAGCACCTTTTGCATATTTCTCTTGATTCCTTGCCATTATTCTTTTGATGTTCATTTGTGGCTTAAGTTTTATGATTAGAATATGCCACTCTCTGTCCAATGACCTTGGCATGTCATTTAAGGAAGTTTTAGGTCCCTCCTTTGGAGGTCTCTAAGGCATGCCTAAAGTGGTGAATCCTTGAGGACTTCTTTTGCATGCTTTTTATGATTTTCTTTTGTTGCATTTCCTCTCCTCCTCTCTTTGCATTTATTCATACTTTGGCTTGAGTTTGAGATGGGCTTGTGGAGGCTCCTGCCCCACACATATTTCCTCCCTCACTTGCATTGCATCTTTGCTTTCCATGTTTGCATTTCATGTATGCATTCTTATAATTGTTTTCTTCATCTTCTTTTGTATTCCTTCCCTTAGGATTTCCATTCCTTCTTGTTCAAGATGGAATGTGATAGACATTAGGATCCTAACCATGCATGATAAAATTAGGTAGTTAGCTCCTAAACTTAACTATAGGATAAACTTTGCATGACAACTTTAGGATTGGATTAGTTCCCCTTGAGTACGTCCTTTCTCTTTTCATCTTCAAACATTCTTAAAACACTTAATAGAGGATTACACCTGTTGTGCGTTACGAGCCTTAAGCACTTGAGAAAGAGTTGTTGGAGGGTCTCTCTCCCATAGCTTGAATGTTTAGTGTGGTACCCTTTGGGTGACGTGCGACGCATTCACTCTTAAGTCCAAGTCTTTAGTGCAACACGAGTTACAAACAAAACTCAAAACACTTCTTCTTTAAAAGACACAAAAACAAACATTCAAATTATTTTTGTCCTCTTGGACCCTTAATCCTTGGAAACCATTTTATTAAGGATATTTTTGTTAAATCTCGGTTCTACTGCAAACGGTAAACGCCTAAGTCTCCAATGGTCGAGCTGCATACACCAAACTGCTAGAACCGTTTGTTAACCCTACTCGGGTTAAAACACTTGAACCAACCTGTGGTCTAGTTATCCCGAACTACTTTTGCTCTGATCTTTCATGCCGTGTGAAAGTACGTAGGCACGAGATGCAATATCTCGGCGAGTAACCTTCCCCCCTTTTCACCCGTAGTTAGGCGAACTACGTTGACTCTGATTTCTCGTTCCAGACGGGAATACGTAGGCATAGAACTATTGTGTTCTGCCTAGTCATTTTTCTTTTCTTTTTCCCTAAGCCTTTAGGTGGATAGATTAATCAACCCTTCGAGATAAACAATTAAGCGTGGATCCCGTCGAGTACGACAGACGTGAGGGGTGCTAATACCTTCCTCTTGCGTAACCGACTCCCGAATCCAGGACTTGGTTGGGATGACCATTCCTTTCCCTTTTCATTAGGTTTTCTCTAAGCGTTTCCTTTCCCTTCTTTGGGATAAATAACGCACGATGGCGACTCTTCTATCATTGCCGGCCTCATTTTTCACAGTAGCGACAGCTGGCGACTCTGCTGGGGACTCCAACGGTTCCCTATGCGAGTCATTCCTAGCACTTACTTGTTTATCTTTTGGGTTTTACTTTCCGCACTATATTATTACTGTTGTGCTATGGGGAGGGGGTTTCACTTTGAGATATGAGTCGGACCTGGGCTTGAGCATAGACTTAGACTTAGAAGTGGAGATTAGAGGTGAGCCTGTATGCTTTGCATGCACCAGCTAGCCATGAAATTCGCGCTCAAACGAGATTCTCTTTGATGATTTTCCTCCTGGCCCTTTGGGCTCGAAGGGATTTTGGATTTGAGGGTTGTTGACTCTGGGGACTGATCATTTGGGATTCAACTAAGTGAGGCCACTTTAAGAGATGATGATGCCACACCTTCTGGGTATCGTATCATCGTTTCTTGAAAGTCTGTGACGCTTATGAACGCATAGGATGCCATACCTCGTCGGAGAATT